TATCCCTTCTATATCCTAAAATAACTTCCTTCTATCCTCTTATTACTACTCTTAGACTTCCTCTATCTTTTCGTTCTATATATATATAGATTCTAGTATACTATTACTAGTTCTTTATAAATAATACTTATAATTAGCACCTACTTTATTATATATTATNTCTATAGTTTCTATTTAGCTAGCTACTTTAAGAGCTTTTAGTACTATAAGTAGCTACTAAACTAGCTTTCTAAATATTAATTTAATATTCTAAGGGTTACTAGCTACTATATACCTTTCTATATATAAACTTAAGATTCTAATAGCTAGTTTTTACTAAATAAGATTTCTAAACCTAAGTTTAAAATTCTAATAGTTAGTTTTTACTAAATAAGATTTCTAAACCTAAGTTTAAGATTCTAATAACTAGTCTTTACTAAGTAGGATTTCTAAACCTAAGTTTAAGATTTTAGTAACTAGTTTTTACTAAATAAGATTTCTAAATTTAAGTTTAGGATTCTAGTAATTAGTCTTTACTAAGTAGGATTTCTAAACCTAAATTTAGGATTTTAGGAATTAACTTTTACTAAATAGGTTTTCTAAACCTAAATTTAAGATTCTAGTAACTAGTTTTTACTAAATAGGATTTCTAAACTTAGGTTTAGGATTCTAAGAACTAGCTTTTACTAGGTAGGTTTTCTAAACCTATATTTAGAATTTTATAATTATAGTTATTTCTACCTCCCTTAATATAAATTAATTTTTTTTCTATATAGCTAGCTTTAACTTTAAACCCTCAGCAGCTGTTTCTTTATATTATTAGTAACACTAGAAATCACTAGGGTACTAAGGTACTTATAAGTATTTGCTATATTACTACTATCACAGTTTAAAAAACCTTATTTTATATACTCACTATAATGTTTTAAGTTAGTAAGGTCTATTTTGTATATATAATAGTACTAAAAGTAAGGAGAATAAGGTATAGCGTTATAACTATAGTAATCAACTAGAGTACTAAGAGCCTTATAATTACGCTAAATCTAAGAGTAATAAGTCTTATAAGAATCTAATTTTTAAATATAACCTAATATAGTATTAATATTATAAGTAAATTAGGAAGTATAATTAATAGATCTTCTAACCTAAAACTAATAACCTACTTATATTAAGTCTTAAAGGTAAAGCCTTTAGAAAAAGGACTTAATATTATAACCTATTATATATAGATAATAATTAACTAACCTATTTAGGCGTTAAGTAGCTAGGATAGGATATTTATACTATAAGATTATAGGAATAATAGGGACTTACTTAGAAATAGAAGAACTATAGTATAAGTTATATAATAATAAGATAATAATTATATTAGATTAATATAATCTAATATAACTTAGGGGCTAAATAATTATTCTAGATTAGAATAATCTAAATTAACCTAAAGTATAAAGGAATATATTTAGAATAAGACTTATATATAGTATAACCTAAGCCTAGTTTATAGTTAGACTTCTATAGCTCTTTAGTAATTAACTTAGTATTTATCCTTATAGATACTCTTAGCTTACCTTCACTATAAATTACTTATTAAGCCTAAGACTGATCACCTTAGTCTCTAAAAGACCTAATTTACTATAGCTTATAACCTACGACTTAGACTACGACCTCAGTATACTGTTATAACGTGTTAATCCCTAGCTTCTATTAGCAGACCCTACTGTTAGATAGCTAACTGTAACACCCTACCTAGACATAGTGTGCTTCTTAGCCACTTTGCTTAATAGAGCGTTCGAGGAAGCTCTTGCCCTAAATTTGCTCAGACATATTACAAGACGGAACTCAGCCCTAGGCCAGTTTACAAATTGACTTGGTTGTATATTATGTACGTATCCCTTAGAACGGGCAAAAACTCTACACGCGGTTACGCAGGGCCCGCCGTTCTCGCTGGGCGGGGGGAGATCGCTTTAGTCTTAGCCCATTCTTGCTCCATTAAATAGAGCTTGAGATTGTCAAGAGTTGTCTCTTCCATCTCAGTATTGTAGAAATCCTCGATCTTGCTGATTAGACAGGTATTATCCGAGGTAACCAAATTGACAACTGCACCATTTCGGCCGAAGCGTCCGCTACGACCGACACGATGTATATAACCCTCATGGTTAGCATGCATATCATAGTTGATAACCAAAGGAATCTGCTGAACATCTATACCACGGGCGAGGAGCTCAGTGGCAATTAATAACTTCGCCGAACTAGAACGAAATTGCTTCATGATTTCAGCACGTTCAAACGCAGGCATATCCCCGTGCATGGCGGAGAAGGCAAGGTTGGGGACATTGATCTTTTCCTTAAGCCATTCGGTCTTTTTGCGGGTGTTGCAGAAGGTGATTGTCTGAAAAGTCGTGATACTTGCGCATAGGTCGAGGAAGGCTTCAAGCTTACACTCATCCTTCTCAACATTAACGTAGAACTGCTTGATGCCTTCGAGGCGGAAATCCGTCTTCTTGATGTAGATATGACGAGGGTTACGCATTAAGATGCCAGTAGCTTCGAGGAGATCCTGTGGCATTGTAGTAGAGGTAACCAAAACCTGGGTCGGCTTTGAAAGAAGGTGGAAGATATCGTAGATCTGATCCGCGAAACCTCGCTATGATACTTTGGTTAGTTACAATCGCAAGAGAATCTGAAGCTTGCCCAAACGCTTACAGCAATAATTTCATCAGCTTCGTCAAGGGCGATCGTCTCTATGTTCGCAGTCTTGAGGATATCACGCTGGATCATATCCTGAAGGCGGCCAGGTGTTCCAACCACCACCGGAGGGGCATCCTGGAGGACCTTCTCGTTGTCGAGCACGCTGACTCCACCGATACAGACACCACACCGGATATTCATGAAGTCCCCAATAGCAACTATGAACTCCTGAGTCTGCAAAGCTAGCTCGCGGGTGGGAACGAAGATGAGAGCCTGGCAGGCTTTCAGATCAGGTTTGACCTTCTGAAGGACGGGAATGACCAAAGTAGCTGTCTTGCCAGCACCGTAGGAGGCTTGGGCAATTACATCATGACCATTGAGGATGGGCATGATAGCACATTGCTGGATAGACGAAGGGCGTTCAAAACCGTAGGCGTACACTAGATGGTTGTCTTGCTTAGCGGCTAGGCGTGGCATAATTATTCTGGTGTATCACTTTAACTTACCACCACGGATAAGATTAGGGTTGAGGTTCATATCATCAAAGGCAGTCGTCTTTTTGTGTCCAGACTCCGTGTACTCTGTATCACGTAAGTTAGCATTTGAGAGTTGACAGTCATTCAAGAGGATGGGAAACCTCACCCTCAGGATCATTCTCGAAGTCCATGTCAAGAGCCATTGTGCTTGGTAGCCATGCGGGATCTTTTTCGCAGTTGCTTTACAGATGCAGGGTCAAGAAGACGTCAATTTTTGCTCGTGGGAGAGAGGGGGGGAAATGAGAGCAGAGAGTTGGAAAGAATTGAAAATGTCTTGAACCGAGCCCGAACAGTAGTTACGTCATTTTTGATGCAATCTGACTGCCCTGTGTTGCACATGGGGGACTGCAGCCTGAAATCTGACTCATGAGGACTGTGCATGATCGCCGGGGAGGGCACGTATTAGTGCGTCAGCCGCTAGCGTACACAGGCTGTGTTAGGCACCTGGGCCCCGGCCTCAAGCGAGCTTCTGTTCAAAAATCACATTTGAGGCAGGGAGCAATACTGCTGCGCCGTGCCTAGACTCGATACAGAGCACATTTGGAAACAAATGAACTATTTATTAAAGATAGTGATGGCTTTCGATATTAAATATCGTAGTTGAGATTGCATGGGAAGTAGCTCTTCTTGATGTGGCCAGCGAGACCACCCTCATAGTATCCCCTGAACGATGTGTTAACGTCGCAGATGGGGAAGTTGAAGACGTACGGCGCCCGGATGTTGACTTCCGCCATGGCGTCAATCTGTTCATCGTCTAGGATTCCGGGCACCCGAGGGTTCTCCTGGTTCTTGTTGCCGTGGGCCTTGAAGGTGTTGATGGAGCTGCCTGTCAATTAGCCTCACATCCTTTGAAGGATCGCCAGCAGTTAAAAGAGAGCAGACTTGCGTACCCCCTGACCATGTCGTCCCTCGTAACGTCGCCCCATAGGGGTCCCCAGGTCGCTTGTGCCGGGCAGTCCGTCAAACTTAGAACAACCAATGCCGTACTTGTCGTCGTAACACTCTCTCTTGGGGTTTTCGGCCGCGAGGAGGAAGTAAGCGCGGTTGTCAATGCAGACCTTTTCGGACTTGATGGCGCCATCAGTAATACGCAGCTTGATCCACTCGTCGTTGTCTGCGGCATCGCAACTGCGTTTCGAATCGACAATGCTAGATGTTGTCAGCACTTTGCCCCAAATCTGTTTCTTCTTCTAATCTATTCGAGAGGTTGAGGAATGCATACAATGGGTTCAGATCCCGGTTGGAGATCTTCCAGCCCAGGGGGATCAGCGTGGCATACAAGGCCTTGTCAATGTCTGCCCGCAGCTCCTTGGTCGAAGGAACGACGGTCACCGAGGATATCATCTTGCCGTTGGCAATCATCTTGGACAGCCTGTCGCCCTCACCGCTAAAGATCTTCGTCGCAAACTTGTCAAGGGCCGTCTGCCACGCGCTGATGACCAGCTTCAAGTTCGCTGTGAGGGCCGAGTTCGGGCTAGTCACGACCTTGCCTATGAGGTCCTTAGTCAGGGTAGCCCTACCCTTGACCATATCGTTGGTGAAATCCTTGGAGGTGCCGTAGTCGTCGGCGTTGTTCTTTGCCCAGGGCACGTTGCGGAGTGCTTTGTTCCACGTTGGGGCCATGACGGCGCCGTAGCCGAGGGTGAGGATGTCGATGAGAATGGCCACGCTCAGATCGCTGTCCTTGACTGGGGAGAAGGTCTTGCCAAACGGGTCGATCGAGGCCTCGGCGTCATTGTACAAGTCCTGCAGTGCCTCGTACGTGTTCCACAGGATGGCGTCAATGTTCCGGAACGAGTTAAGGATGAAGTAGCCCGCGGGGGCGTTGTTGTCGTGACACTGCAAGGAGGAGCCCCCCGTGCAGCCGTTGCTTCCCGTCAGCTTGTGGCAGTCCATGGTTTCGGGTCCGTTGAAGAAGTGGCTGATGGAGCGGGTGAACGCGAAGTCGGGATTCGACTCATTATCCGACTTGTAGTTCCGGAGGGCGGCGGCCCAGGCGGAGGGCGTCAAGACCTGGTCCCAGCGCCACTCGGCGTCCTTGCTGGCATCCGTGATGCCTTGATGCGTGCATTGAATCTCTCTCCATCCATCTTCGATGGGCTCAGCGCCACCGCCGCCGGGGGTACCCTCGATAGGTTGTCCCGGGGGTGGCATAATGATTTCTGGCTCTTACGAAGGGTCCCAGTCGTCACCATTGCGGTTGCCGCCGCATCTGTTGTACGCCGTAACGGCCGTATTGGGGAATGTCGCCAGTAAACTTCTCGATCCATATGATGTCGGCTTTACCGTCACCGTCGACGTCCGCAAACTGCAGGTTGGCGCGGTCGTGACCCTTCGCGCTGAAGAACTGGTCGACATGCGTCCAGCCGCCGTTACTGTCCTGCGTCCATCCCCACATACGGCCATCCTTCTCGACACAGACGTAGTCGACCCTTCCGCTTCCCGTAATATCGGCAAAACGAATCGGCCAATCCCGGAAACCGACGCCGCGCTTCTCAGAGCAATGAAGGACAGGGGCCGGGTTGGCGACGTGCTGCCAGTTGAAACCCCCTCCGGGTGTGTAGTTGTTCTTCCAAATCTCAACGCGATCCCCGTTGTTGTGGTCGACGTGAATGATATCACACCTTCCATCGCCGTCAAAGTCAGTCAGATGGATATCGCGACGGTCGAGATCCCTCGGCGGCTTGAAAAAGGCCTTTTGTCCCGGCTGCTTCCAGTAGCTTTCGCCATTGGCGATGAAACCCTTGCCAGCATTCTCGAACAGGTCCATTTCGCCCTTGGAGAGTACCCAAATGTAGTCATCGCGCCCGTTGCCCGTCATGTCGCAGTAAAAGTTACCGTCAGCCTTTGGTTTGGTCGCACCATAACCCTTGCTCTTCCATACCCTGACGTTGAACTCGTGTTTCCCGTTGGGCAGCTCCTTGTGCTCCATCCAGACGTGGTCCTTGCGTGATAGGAGGCCAAAGTCCTGCGTGCTGCCGTAGACACGGGCGAAGTGAATCCTGTTCCGGATACCGTTGGCCATGCCGCCCGTGTGCGTTGGAGATTTGCCCGAAGCCTTGTTGGTGCCGATCCGCCAGGCGGAGTAGAGACCATCACCTTCTTTGCCCCAGTGGCAGCTTCGCGAGTTGGTGTACGTCGTCGTCTGTCCGTTGTCGGCAACCCAGAGCCAGTCGGCGCGATTGTCACCGTTGAGGTCCTCGAAGCGTGTGCCGGCGAGGTCGCCCATGCCTTTACCCTCGAAGCGCTGGCCCATGGCCTGGAAGTAGGACGGCTTATTGCCGATGCCACCGTCGCGCCACACCCAAGCGTCGCCGTTATCCCTGAGACCGATGAAGTCGGCGCGTCCGTCACCGTTAACGTCGGCGATTCGGATGTCGGCCTGGGCGTAGGCAGGGTCCTTGGCTTTCCAGGTACCAATGTGTGTAAATATGGGCAGTGTGCCGCCGCCACCATTGCCGTTGTTGATATTGGCAAATACAGCACCGTCGGAGCCGATGCAGACAAAGTCATCGAGTCCGTCGCCGTTGAGGTCGGCCCACTGCACACCTCTCTGGATGCAGTTATCGTGCACGTTGAGGTCGCCAATTAGGGTGAATTTGCCGTCGCCGTCATTTCTACGCACAGCGTACAGGACCTTGTCTCCGTCCTTGATCCAACCGAGCAAATCATCACGGTCTGAGCGGAAGATGCGGGCAAAGAACCACTGGTCGCGGTCCCAGTCGCTAGTGATGGTGGCAACGGCGCCCATGTCCTGAGCGTCATGGATGTACTCGCCGTCATCGTAGCCGCTGCCGACCTGTGTAAGAGCACCAGCGTTGATGCCGTTGCCTGGCACCTTGTGGCAGCCGACACCTCCTTGATCGAGAGCATCCCCGGCGTTTAGAGGTTCCATCAGCCGGCCCTGAAACCTCGCACGGCCGATGGCGGCGTAGATAGGCCCGGCCATCTTCTTGAAACCCTGCGCGTTGGGGTGGACACCGTCATCAAGATCCGACAGAGCGATGTGGCCATCCATCTCTGCGAGAAAGATGGGTCGTCCCTGGGCGTACAGCTCCCGCACGACCTCACGATATTTCTCATTGACGGCTTGACGTCTAGCATCAGCTTCACCACCGATCGGCAGGATGGTTGTGGCGATGACAACAGTCCCAGGGGAGATGCTGTCCCAGAGGCCCCGGATCATGTTGCGGAAGCGGATGTGTTGGTTCGCATTGTCAATGCTGCGAACAATGTCGTTGGTGCCAGCGTTGATGATGACCATGTTGGGCTTAAACTTATAGGAAGCCTTGGAGAGGTCGTGAATCTCAGAAACGATGAACCCAGATACAGCCTCGACGTCCTATATTCGATTAGTCATTCTGTCGTTAAACGGGCCTGCGTATCAAGAACTTTACGTTATCTTTCATGTTACCGCTGTTCTTGGTGCCGACCATGTCGACCGGGTGGCCGTCATGGCGCAACTGCTGGCGCAGAACCTTGCGGTAGCTAGGTAAAAGCTTCTGAACAGCAAATAGATACTTTCCGGCACAGTCAGCTTCATGAGACGAACCTGTTCTGGTCGGGCGAGCCGACACCAAAGACAATGGAGGCTCCCAGGGCCATGATCCTCAGAGGCGTCTTGTCATCGCGCCTCTTCGGACCGTGGTATCCAACATCATCATCCAGCTGGGCCCATGCCGTGGTCTCGTTGACAATAGGATCATCAATTAAAGTAACATCCGTGGAAGTGGGGTGGGCTGTCGCAGTGTCTGCGAAGAGGAGCGCCTGCGAGACGAGCCAGGAGAGGCTGACAAGAGAATTGAGGAACCTCATCTTGCGACTCAAGAACTAAAAGAGAGACAGAGTCACGGCTTTTTGTAACACAGAGGGATGTTCATTCATTCAAAAGGGGGTGGTATGGGATCTGCGCTGCATTTGTATGAATTTGGATGGCATACTCTGCACATCACGCGGCATCGTGTCAATGAGTGATATACGAGGAGCGACATCGTCAACCGACTTTCGAACGACCGTCCATGTCCATGCGACAGGCCTTCCCCTGCCATGATAGCTGACGACCGAATCACAACAGGACTTTCGTAAGATCCTGGATGCTTCGGAAATTGAGGGCTCAATGCCTGAGACTGAGGTGGCCTACGACATGCTGGTTATCGGTGTCGGAACTGAGAACGTTACCTTCGGTATCCCGTGTGTGCGTGAGAATCATTTCTTCTTGAAGAATATCGGCGATGCCCAGGCTAGGCCGCCACTCACAAAACTAGGCTGCCCCTTACAAGACAGGAAACTGACTATCAACAATGGATATCTTGGGTTTTCTCCTGCCAATGTCATACTCCGAGATAGACCTGGCCACCACGTGCCCTTACGATCCCTCCTCCACTGGCTGTACGGTGATCGCCTGTGACTAATCCTTAAACCCTAGCCAAGCGTTCATTGTTCCCTGTTAAGCATAAGTTCCTCCTTGCAGACAGTTCGCATGATTTATGAAAGGGGCAGTTCGTACCGGGCCATCTGGACCAGCCGTAGCGGGATCACGCAACGAGAAGAGTACCTCCCGGCACTGTGACATTGGATCGCACAGGGCCGCAGGCAGCAAACCGCACCCGCGTTCCCGCGGCCAGCCCAGCCTAGCCCAGCTGTCCAATATGCCCCATTTGGTACCGCGCACCGCCAGGCCCAGAGCCCCGACCGCTGTGGCCTGTCTCCTCCGGTTCAAGTGCAACCTTCCCAAACAGGCATCGAACCTTCTGGCCATCTTGGCATATGAGGAGCTTCTGAAGTTCCTTCTAACCATCTTGGCATATCAGGAAATGCTGAAGTTCCTTTTAGCTATTTTCACATCAATTGACATAAGAACCTGCTGAATTTGGCTTTGCAATGTCTCTGGTGCTGGCGGAGCTGCGCCTCAATGGTTTTTCTAAAAAAAATACCAAGCCGGTATGTCCAGCATGCTGGTAACTAAACGAAGCATGCAGCGCGTCTTCAGATTCCAACTTTCTCTAGCATGTTCATATAGGTGGGATGTGAGTACCTATCTTTTAGATCCGCCTCTTTTTCTTTTATTCCACTCTTCAGCTTCTTCAATGTTTGCATCTCTTCTGTAGTGACAACTTCATAAGAGAAATCTGCTGCTGAAGCAGGGCGTAATACTGCTTTTCGCGATGATGGCTTATCTTAGACTCTATAATATGAATGAATCTGGGCTTTTCTTCAATAAGATCGTCGATGTCGCCGCCAGATATCTTGGTGGCTTCCCAAATTGAGAAGTAAGGCGACTCATTCGGCTGGCAGAACATATGCATCATCCCCGGCTTGGCATACTCCGCCTTTCTTATGAATGATATAACAACTCCTTTGCCACATCGATGCCACGGTATTCCGACAGAAGTCTAAGCCATTCGAATTCCCAAATTGAAGAATAGGCGTTAATTCGTGTAAGAAATCCAGAACACGAAGGCTGGTCGTGAAACAACAATCAGGCGAGCAGGAGCAGCACTCTTCTCGCGCGAGGATATTGGCGTTAGTATTTTCACGGCATTCATGTTTGACCAACAGTTCCCTTTTGAAACTTCTGAGGGCATGACTGAGTTATTTACGGTGCTGCGTATCTTTAAGGTCGATTTCAGGCCCTACCTCGAGAAGCGCACTGCATAAGGCGGGTTCACATCGGTCGGCAGATGTGATCAAAGGATTTTGACTGACGATGTTTTGGAAGATTGATCAAGTTGAATCTGTTATTCAGCAGATGCTTCGAGTCAGAAACCGGTCTGGCGCTGTGTATGAGTCTGTGGTTTCATGTCTCTTGTCTCCAATCATAATACGTTAAGTCTATAGAGCCACCACACTTGACCAAAAGCTGATGGGGTGATACGGTGCCGGTACCCAGGTAACGCGGATATTTAACATTAACGAGATATGTTGCAATCTGGCTCCAACCTCTTGCGGTGCATGCTCTATTAATGACCTTGATCTGACTAAGAAGGTTCAAAGTCAATTTCTAATATCGACGGACTGCGGCATGGTGGATGAACGTGCGTTGATGGACGCTGTCCTTGATGGGAGGATCAGCACCGGAATTAAGAAGGACGATCGCTGACTCGTCATTATTTGTCCCTGCTGCATATATGAGGGGAGTCATTCTGTAGTTATTAACAGCATCTAAATCATGGCCAGATTGTATAAGGTCATGAAGATACTGAGGGTTGTAGACAGCGAAATGAGGTGGCGTCTAGCCGAGAAATTCCCGCATCCTTTTCAGAGCTGTCAATCTATTTGTTGACTGATTCTGGCGAGTCGAACATTATGGCTTCGTGAGGAAGTATTCTGCCAGGATACCCTACCTCATGGTAGTTCGTACAAGAAACCTCACTTACCTATTGTGGAAGATAATAAAGACACAGACGGAGAGAGAATCAAAACCAAATCTTAATTTTCATTACACAAAGGACTGATATGCTCGGTGAAGAAGGGGTCGGGGGCCACCTCTGATATCTAATTGGGGGAGCATAGCTGCCGCCAACCTTGGGCATCCGCCACAGCTGCATTGAAGCCGAGATATAAAAGCTTCACCGTTTCATTCTGCACATCTAACCCAAGAAATCTACAATGGTAGCGCCTGCTTAATAATAACACCCTCATCAGGTTTTTAAGTGCGAATCGCTTCGCAAGTATCCCTCAGTATGGTTACATAAAACAGGCAAATAGACCTCACATGAAGCCTTCACTTGCGCACTTTCGTCTATCGTGTGACGATCATGACGACGCTCATCAAAGGGCAACAAGCCGCTCTGAGTGAATTCCTCCGCTATCAATATATTGCTTTCCGCCCGATAGTTAAGAACTGCGCACACAATAGTCCACGACTAAATATAATTCAACGATCTTGTTTCAAGTACTGAAGCAAACGCAAATTCCACTGGACAGGTTAACAGATAGTGCCCGATTCAAACAATCGGGCAAGGCGTGGCTTCTAGGCATATTTATATCACTACTACGGTTCGGCTTGATCATATAATCAGCGTCAAATTAAGGTTGTTGCTGGTTAAAGCCCTGGAGGAGGTGAGCAAACAGATCACTGTATACTCAGACATCCTCCTGTAACTGCTGTTCTTTGCCCGAAAGGTTAGCATCAGAGACAGCCAGAAAGAGATTTTCCGCGAGCCAGACTTATTGCCTCAGATCAGAAGAACATACACGGAAGTGTACTCGAACAGACCTATCCAATTCATTCCAGCAGAAATGGCATTACCGCGGTGTACAACGTTGTTTACTTGCAATTGGCTGAGCCAAGGTGACGGGGACTGACAAAATTATACGCACCACTGGGGCCAACTACGAGCACCGGCGTAGTTCACGAGCTGTTCCGTGCGTCCAGCGCCGCATAACAAACCCAGTCTTGAAACGAAATAAACTCCCAATGGGCAAGACAATCCCACCCTTTTAAGATTAACGTTCATGGGGAACTTCTCGAAACAAATATTTGAGTTTCAGATCCCGGCAGTTTGGTGCTATGAACAAGGATTCAATGAACCGTATTTCAATTCCTGTGGGCCAGATAAAGTGAACAGTCTCCCCTGCACATTCTTTTCCAGCTACATCCAGGCAACGTGTCTGCTAGGATAAGGCTCGGCACGCATACGATACACGTTCTTCTCAGACCACAAGCGGATTCGTCGGTCATTGTACCAAGAACTTCGATCCACAAGATTCTTCATCTCCATGACATGTGCACTTAACAATGGTCGACCTCGATGAAGCAATCCCTGCGCTCAATCAGCGACCGGCAGCGCTAGCCATTATCACTGTATTTCTGGTACGCTACTTAATGTTTTGTCGTCCATCAAACATACAATACGCGATTTCCGGGCATTGCTCAGAACTGAACAACAAGGCTGACGATGTCCTCAGATCCTCGCCTATGTTTGTGGCATTGGGCGGCTGTACATCCGTTTTTTCGTCGTTCGTCGCCCGGGCTGGGACGATGCATTGCTCGTTATGGTCTTGGTATGTTGTCAATTCCCAGCCGGACGGGCTTTAAGGGTCAAAATGCTAAGCTCTCTCTTCCTTCCAGGTTACCACCACCTTGTTATCCTTATCAACATGTATAGGTAAGAGCAATGGTTCTTGATCACGAAGAAAGCGCGCACTCTGACCATGTCGATGTAAGCCCTCTCAAACGGGTTGGGCAAGCACTATGCTACTCTTGGATTGATTGGCACTGAGGCATTTATCAAGGCAAGTTTCCTGGATTTCTATCGGTGTAGAATTTGAAGCGCTAACTTGCTGATAGACCTTTTACATTTGTAACGCTGCCTATTGCATGGCGACAACCTTCATCAAGCTGGCTCTGTTATGTCAGTATCTGACAATGTTTGACCATGGTTCACTATCATATCGAGTCAGCATTGTAATGCTCATCGTCACAGCGATGTGGGGCACCGCATACTCCGTCATCGCTTGGTTTCCATGCAATCCCGTTTCGGCACAGTGGGAACTCACAAAACCAGCCACGGGGCGATGGGGATTTGGGTCGGACGACTTAGGTGTCTACAAAAGAACATACATCAGCCATGTAGCGACTAACATGGCTCTCGACATGGTAGTGTGTGGGTTGCCACTACCGTTCGCGTGGGGAAACGGCATTCGGAAAAGGTCTGTCTATGGAGTTGTCTCACTTTTCATTCTAGGTGATATGTAAGCACTCCAACAGACTATTCAGACATCATTGTGGGGTTACTGACCTTGTTCGTTGACAGTGTTGTTGCTATTGGGGTCAGTCGTCTCGTGTCAATTCAGAACACAGAGGCTGGAACCTACCCGAGGGTGGATCCGTCTTGGTACGCCTGTGTCCCTGCTGTGCTAGCAACGGTTGAGGTGAACCTGGCTACGGTTTGTGCGTCCATACCTATAGTTTGGCCAGTTACACAACGGGCTCTGAGCCGAATATGGGTCACCAGAGAGGTTGAAATTACCTCTGAACCGGGCGACTACCCTCTTACCGCTGGCGTTAAGCCTTACGACAGTTACTACATACAAAAGACCTCAGCCTGGTCTATTACCAGCCAGCAGCATAACGGAAAAGGAACATAAGCATCAACAGCCAACTTGGAATTATGTCCTCTAGGTAGAATGGGCAAACTTAAGAGAAATAATGCCTGAAGTAATCAAACTGTTAGTTCATAACATAATAAGAGCCCGCGTACAATCCAAATCACTTTAGGATGAACGATTCCTTTAAATGCTGATGTTTCGTCCTGTGAACTTTCTTATTCGTACCGAAAGCTGTTCGCGCAGCTGGCTGAGCCTTTTCCACAGGCCACATCCGCATTATCACTATTACATCTGATCAATTCCATCGTCACAAATCTGCAGAAATACAAGCTTGCCATTTGACCCCATCATAGTGCAACGCTTGTCTTGGACCTCTGCTTCGACGATCTCCCCGTGTATGAAGGCTTGTTTGATGAGATTTTCTATTATGTTTTAGGTAGTTAGTATCCATGTCAGTATTTCTTTTCATACATAGGTTTAGTTCCCATTGAAGACATGCGTGAATGACGATGGAAGGTGAATTTTCTCCCGATAGTTCCTTCAAATGTGAACAAGACCAGCGCTTGAGCGGATTCGAATTCTCTAGCAGAACCCCAAGCCCCTTCGCCTGTCACTTCTATATACTCGATCAGTGGCTAATTTACAGCATGGCCGGCATCTGGAGAGGAAGCGCAGTCGTCTTCAGTCAGTCAGCCACTTACCACGCAACAGCCGAAGGTTAACTCAATGCGGTGACTACTCCTACTATATTTTGGCCACTGTCCGCTTCCATGTGGCATGTCGGGGGTGTGTGGCGCTTATGGACGTCTTCGACCATTGGCGTGGAAAATAATGCTATATATAGATTCGTATCACTGTATCTCTTTCCTCGTTTTTCCAGGACGTGAGGTGTTGTGTCACTATTGCGAGTATCCCCGGCAAACGCGTCTTCCCAATATCTCAATCCAGCTGCAATATCTGATCTGTGGAGTTTTCCCAAAACCTGAGAGGATGCCTCCACAAAGGTCTTAGTCTTCTGATGTCTCAAAGTATTAAATTCCCAGTATATCTTCGCATACACTATCGCATGGCCTTATTCCAAGACACTATTCACAACTGGAGCTCATTAGTATCCACGTATCTTGCAACTAGACTAACTCTTCTAGCTTGAGGGTTATTCGCGATGAGGGCCTGGTTGAAAACCTATTCAATCGACCGGCATTCGTCACAGGGTGCTCCGCTGGTATTGGCATCAATACAGCAAAGGCTCTCTTTCTCACTGGCGCTTCTCTTTACCTGACCGCCCGCGACATCTCGAAGGCCAAGGCTGCTCTGGGTGACACCCTTGTCTCTAGTCTGCGTGTTCACTTTTTGGAACTCGATCTTGCTTCATTTGCCAGTGTACGCAAACGTGCTGAGTTCTTCTTGTCTCTCAAAGTACTGCTCAACATCCTCATATGTAATGCGGGAGTCATGACCCCTTTGGAAGGCCGAACGCAGGATGGCTTTGAGACGCAGTTCGATACCAATCATCTGGCCCGCTTTCTTCTTTTTGAACTGCTTCGTCCTGCACTGCTCGCAGGGGTTACGCGGAGTTTGCTTCTCGAGTTGTCATCCTGGCTTCAATTGCTCATCGCTTCGAAGAAGTTCGTTTCGACAACATCAATTTTGACGGCCACTACGATGCTATGGCCGCGTACTCCCAGAGAAAGACAGCGAACCTTTGGACTGCGAATGAGATCGAGCGCCGTTATGGTGCACAAGGGATACACGCTTGGAGCGTGCAACCCGGCGCCGTCCTCATGGATCTGACAAAATATATACCTGATGAGCAGCAAAAGGGTCTGAAGCAAGACGATTACTTATCCAAAATCTACAAAACACCGTCTCAAGGTGCCTCCACCTCGGTTTGGGCCGCGACTGCTGCGGCATTGGAAGGGAAAGGCGGGCGATACCTTGAGGACTGCCAGATAATCGGTGCATGGGAACCATCAGAAGGACTGTACAGTCCGGGATATGGCGAGCATGCGTATAGTGCCCCGAAAGCTAGCTTGCTTTGGGAAAAGTCGAACGAGTAGGTGAGGTAGATCTTCATCAAATATAATGTCGTCCTTGGGATAAACGAGCCGGTCTTTTGACCATTGGCTTTCGCCTAGCATAATGTCTAGGTCTAGCCAAGTTTGAAGTTATTAATTAGCAATTATTAACCCTATGATATTGATGGCGACGTTCGAGGCGGCGTGGCTGTCAGAAGACTAAGATAGCTTGGTATTGTGAAGTTATATTCATCTTATTATGCTCGATGCCTGCCTATCTACCATTGTGTAAATCACTGCAATAGTGGGAGACAAAATGGGGTGGGGGCTTTGCGGCTGGAATGTGAACATCCTTGAAGCCTGGGTTTATCATCTCGGTTGTTCGTGGCCTTTCCCTGAAGTTTCTTCCCGACGACAGACTTCAAGTTTATTCTATTCAACAGGACCTTCTAGAGCACCTTCATTTCTGGTTGTCGAGTGAACCTACTTAGACCCCAGTTCATTAGGTAGGTCGCGTTCCACAAAAAGGGTGTTGGTGTCGATCCTTGCCTGTGACACTGCACATTTTGACATGTTGTCATGGAGAATATGAGACACTAATTAAACAGGCACTGGCAACTTTAGAAACTGCCTTCACCGTCTTTGTGGATTCATATCGGTGTACAAAAATCAGCAACCCGCCGCATTTTACTTTATTGTATCAAAACTACTTGCTCAATCAACATTGCTCCTTTTCCAGGTCTCGAGGTATGCTCATCATGCCATCAAGCGATCTTGGAGCGGTCTACGTGAGCGACAAATGCGGCTCTGTTGTATGCAGTCACGTCTGCCAAGCCCTATTCCTCGAAGGAGCGCCAGTGATTAGGCTTTTGGCGTCATGGTGTATCAGAAACAGCAAGAGTATAGATGGCATCAAGCCAACTCTCGCGGTAGTGTTTTTCAACACTGGTGTAGATGCCGACGAGTATCTTCGCATTAAGGCAGAAGTGGCGGCCAAGGTATGTCATGGCTAGATGAAATCCAATCTCCGACTATGGCGAAAACTCATTCAGGTGTCTTAGGCCGGCATCGACTTCATTCCGTACGAACTGGCACCAAATGCATCTACAGATAGAGTTCTCAATCTGATTTCTGCGCTGAATAAATGTCCTCAGACTCACGGTATTCTGGTTCAGCGTCCACTGCCGATTCAGATCTCTGAAGCGGACGTTATGGGCAGTATCAGTAGACAGAAACATATTGAAGAGTGTGTTCAAGGAGATTCTAGCAACATTGCTGTCGATGGTGTAGTTCGTCTTCTCGCTTCTTATCGCAAAGCCGACATGCTCGACTTATCTATTGTGCTTCTTGGGGGCACCAACATCATCACTCCCGGTTTCAAGGCCGAGCTCAAGAATCGATATCCCCGTATTGAGATGTTCAAGACACCAGAGGAAGCGAAGCTTGTTAACAGAGACGGGGTTGTCGTCATGACAGAGCTCAACAAAGGTGGCATTATCCAGCCTGAAATGCTTGGGCCAGGAGTAGAGTTAGTCATTGATCTTGGGTTTGACATAAACACAAAGATGGGAGATCTAGATCCGAGGGTATTTGACGTCGATGGCTTGATGGTGGTCCCAACTCCAGGTGGCGTACTGCCTGTTATCATCTGGTTGATGATGGAAAGGACTATCAAAAGCATGTCCAGACGCAGGGCATCAAGATCCACCTGGCTTCGCAAGGGATGTGCGCAGATCTTGAACTTATGTAGAGTGAAGTCAGCTTGGCAGAATAGCCACTGATATTGCGGCTTTATACAATTGCGGAATAAGTCTTCGGTGTCAACTCAAACTTTCATGGCGCAAATTTGTGCACTTTTTCTCGGCGATGATCAACTTGATCGATGACGTTTCACCTCATTCGCAGCTCTCGAATACTCAGGGAATGATGAGATATTGACGTACCCAGCCCGCATCCGGATTCATTCATGTAGCTTGGTAATGCCACGAACGAACGCGACACACACAACCATCCACACATCAGCTGTTGTAGTACCTGCTTTCGTAAAGCATTAACGTGTCTGAGCTGGCAAAGCGTTTTTGCTGACCTCTCGAAACGTAGGGCATGGCTATTTCAGAATTATGTCTTGAAGTGAACCTTTGCTCTCTCTGCAGTTGCCGGTGCTAACGTGGCGCTTGTCGTCATTCATTGTCTCAAGCATCAGCAATTAGCGACCGATGGAAGTACACAAAGATGAGCCAAGTCAAACTTTGGTCGATGCAACTAGATTATGCTTCGCTAGCTAATTACATATTACGTCCCCAGTATCCATCCTCTAGTCGTGGTCTTAGCACTGTACAAGAACTACGTTTATGTAATTTTGTACTTGCGACATTTGATTAGCATGCTCAGAGTGTTGACAAAAGCGAGCATTGTTCCAACATTCACGCGCTTACTGGTAAGAAGCGCGGTAGGTGTCCCAGTAGGAGTGGATGCGAGTCTCCTGACCATCAGTGAAGTGGGTGAAGCAGTCGCTGTGAGGGGAATTAGCATACTCTACATGCATACACGCCAAGAGGTATACTTACTCGTCAGAGTAGTCCATGTAGTTGGTGACGGGGTCAGTGCCAGCAAGGGTGGGGCAGGTGTCACGGCCAATCTCGCAGTTGTAGGCCTCCTCAGACTCGAAGGGGGTGTCAGAAACGTAGTCGCCGTTACCACCGCACTGGTAGCCCTCGAAGGTGTGGTAGACTGCCATGCGTGTAAGCCAAGTGGTCATCTTTAGATTTGCATGTGTTAGCGTGGTGTCACTTACGTCCAAGCCAGTGACCAATCTCGTGGGTGGCGGTGTGGCCAAGGTTGTACTGGGCCAAGCTACCTCCGGGAACAGCAGAGGAGCGGATGACGACACCATCGTAGTAGAAAGCAGAGGAGCCGGTAGAAACGGTCTGGGGGAAGTAGGCGTATCCAAGGTAGGGGGTACCGGGAACGAAGTAGACGTTCAGATCGGCGTAGGTGCCCTTGCGGAGCGAGCGCTTCATGGTCAGCTCGGCCGAGTCAGAAGCCCACTGGGTGTTGATAGTCCAGTCGGCACCGGCTTGGGAGAACTGAACATCGTGGGGGGCGAAGGCCGTGTTCAGGACGTCGAGCTGCTCGTCCAGGGTAGCCTGGGTAAGGTACCCATTGGCAACAGTCTGGGACCTGGCAATGACGTGCCAGTAGACGTTGACGTTGATGGGAGCCAGACGAGTGGAGTTGCCAGCGACGCGGGCGTTCTCCTCCTTGAGCATCAAGCGCTCAGCAACCTCGATCTGTTCCTCAGAGGGAGACGGGGTGCCGCAAGAGCGCTGAGCGAAGGCGCCGGAGGCGACCGCGAGAGCGGAGAGAACAAGAGTCTTGAACTGCATCTTGGAGGGGGGACCGGACACCTGATTGGGGAGAACCTGACTTGAGAGGACTGGGATGAGGATGAGGATAGAAGACACCTTGATGGCTGGCTTCATGGCAGTTTATATAACCATTTGACCGTTCCCATCTTGAACCTCACATGCTGGCGAGACATATCGTGACTTCAAAGCATTTCGACTTTCAACCTTCCCAAAACGGATCAGACCGAAGGTTTAGCACACTGCAACGGACGGTCTTGTGGTACGCAAACTGGATCAGATGCAGCAATTCTTTTTGCGGGTGCAAACGCAGGTGGCTCCTGTGCTCCATAGCTGAGGAGTCGATTCATGGGCAAGTTGAGGGCACCTGCTCAGTTTGTCAGGTCGCATGCGCTTTTATTGACGACACCCGCCAAAAGCTTGACGTGATAAGCCGGTTGGCCGGCATGTCTTAAGTTGCCAAGAAAAATCGCGGCTTTTGCGATGGTTCAGGAAATGCCAAGACGGTGTAAGGAGCCAAGACAGGGACGGTTTCCAGGCTCTGGTTGGTATGTCGTACAACGCTCTGATTAAACCAAGCACCGGCTGGTTATCGACTTGCCTTTTGCGCCAATCGAGGTCCATCAATTGGCCAGCACCAAGCACGGCTGAGTTCATTCGCGCGTATTATTGTTCCCACTCAAAGTCTTGGCCGTTGATTCAAAGTCTTGGCTCTTGAGCTTCACCGCGTCTGTTTGGATGGGGATTGGCCAAATCAAGCTTATATTTATGAGTGTCGGGCATAGCCGGTCGCCGAGATGTTACCTTCCTTAATTCGACCACAACTCCACCTCCTCCCCCTGAGCCCGACAAGCCCCGTCTCTCCGACCCCGCGCCGGTCCCGCCCACATCCCGGTGGCGCTGGAGGAATGCCCGCGCACATCGCATCACATCGCATCTCATCGCCAAACCCCCGCCGTCCCCTGCATTACCTCCCTTTCCCCACATCTCCGGCAATAACCTCAATCTACCGCCTCCCGCTGCCGCCGTCTGCCCCTCTAGACCCTTATCTCTGGTGGCGGATAAGTCGACGTCAAGACCAGCTTCCAGTCTTGGTAGATAGTCCAAAGTGCCAAGCTCGTCAGTAAAATGAGTTTCGTCATTGTAAGACAATTGGGAGTCCGATGGCGTAGTTCGGGGATGGCTTCGCTCTGGTGTCCTGCGGAAACCGCCGTAAACCACACGCTGGATCAACGGAAGAGTCTCTGGACGAGGGTACTCAGACCCCACAGTGAATCGTTTGTTCCGCTCTTCCAAGACCAGCGCAAGACGGTTTGATTCATATTTCTTGCGACCACTGCCACTCTCCCATTTGGCTTTCCTATGAATCTTTCTTCAAACACCTCATCTGATACCATAACGCAGAACAATGCGTTAGGAAAGGGTTAAGGTCGATGTCAATATTCGGCAAAGATGTGCAGCGAGCTGCATTCGCCAGGGTGTTGGTTCCGCGGTATTGGATCAGAAATTCACTCGTGATCGCTAAACTTGGCACGCGTGACCTGCGATTGCATGGACTCTGCCGACCGAGGCTCATCAAACCAACCGAGGGTACCACAACGACGATAAGAGGAGAGATTTGGCCATACCAACCTGTCTTTTCCCTATCCCGACAGATGAGGTGAGCTGCAAATACAACAATACAGTTTGATAATGCGAAATACAGGAATGGTGTCAACCGCCCACGTGATGGTCTTCATCAATAGTCACGTTTAAGGCATGCAGGTTCCATGTTATATTAAAGATAAAAAGTCCAGGTTTTCCACAGCGGCAGCCAGTCAACTTGGATGAGACACTGCGGAATGGAAATTTCAATTTTATGGTGAAGCCCCCTTGAGAGGGATACTTCAGCAGCGGAAACGCGAATGTCTCATCGTTGACCTCCTGACCGCATCCCATCGAGTGCGGCATGGTGCCAGTACATACGGTTCCCAATTTTTCTCCAACTCGACTGGTAACATCATTTTTTGATGAGCGGGAATGAGCGAGAAACAACCAGACTATTATCCAATTAGCTACTCATACTCCGCACACGTTTGTAGTGACGCCATGCCGCACTCAATGGGATAGCTGCCGCAGCTGGCCATACTGTTAGAGCACGAAACAGAGGTCCCAAGCCGATGTCTTGAAGAACTATCCGAACCTTGCGAAGAGGTTCGTACTCGGAATTGGAAACAAACCCCAATCAGGAGTTTGGCGAGCATTCCTACTTGATCATCATTGATGGGGATTTGCCTGATGTAAGATGGGTCTTGGCTAACCGAGCTGCCCCTTTGCATTCCTCACGACCTGACCCTTTCACCCCTTGCTTGCAAAATGTGCTTCTGTCCAGGGATGATGGGGAACAGTCAGCGATGTGTAAAATGACGTGTGAGCTCCGTCGTGTAGCCCGTAATCTTTCTTGGTCATTTCATCAAAACCTGCTCTTCACAGTCCTTCAATTTAAGTTACTTTTCCCGCAACGGTCACAATGCTGTCAGCGATCAATTATCACCGATGGTTACCTGTTCTCACTTTGGTGGCGATATGGGTTGTTCTTATCTCTAAAGGCCGACTCACTTATTCTCCCTCTATCGCCGAGCCGGGGTTAACCTCTCAAGCGAATTCTACCACAGAATCGACAATAGAAACACCAAGGATTGTTATAGTTTACTCATACACCGAAAGCGAAACGTCCAGCGAGAATTTACGGTACTTTGTGAAGTTTGGACTTCACCATGCAGCGGACTTTATATTCATCTTCAACGGGAAGACAGACGCCTTCAGAGAAGTACCAGAAAGGGAAAACGTCCAGATTGTGACGCGAGAGGGAACTTGCTCCGATCTTGGGGCTCACGGCGAGGTTCTTCGCGGCAACAATATCTGGAAACAGTATGACTACTTTATTCTTCTGAATGCCAGTGTACGGGGTCCGTTCATGCCCTACTGGAGCAGTAGCTGCTGGTCTGACACGCTGTTGTCGAAGATAACCCATAAAGCCAAGGTAAAATATTTGGCGTTCCTTATTTTGCCTCGTTATTACTTCCTGCGATGTGTGTTGGTCAACCTTTGTTAGCAAACCAGTTCAAGCGCCTGAACAAATAACCATAAGAGACACTGACCGTTTAACAGCTTGTTGGAATCACTGCGAAATGCTGGCCACGATTTTATGTTCCATCAATGGTCTGGGCCACTGATCAAACTGGGATCAGCCTTTTGCTTGATGCTTCCTTAGGACGAAGTCACTCGATCTTCGGGGGACCTGGCGAGCTTGTTGGACTTAGCGGCTGCTACAATACGCTTCACAGTGCCGCTCATGCCGAGATGGGAGCTACGTCGATGATCACGGGCGCGGGATATACCGTTGACGTCTTGATGGCTTCTTTCCACAAAATCGGCGATGCTGGAAGTTATTGTGAATCAACACCTCCTGGAGTCCTGGATCCACTCCGAGAGGGAGATTATTTTGGGTTCAGCATTCATCCGTATGAGACTTTGTTCGCGAGAACCACGGCAGGTATGAGCTCCCTTCCAGTGGAGCACCTGTCATCTTGGATGAAAGATAGTGGATATTCAAGTTACTTAAGGTGCGGGGTGTACTAGGCTTACTCTGTGTCGCTTCGAAATTACGCCTTCACGAAAACTCGGAATTCCAAATGTAACATTTTGGTCGTAATATCGCTACAGCCTTTTACAGCATTCTCTTGAGATAAATCTTGTTTTTGCTAAAGGTTATATAAGTCACATCTCATCATCCGTTTTGTATGGATTATATATTCATTTCCACGAATATGACGTTCATGTTCACTAATCCAACAATACTCACGTTCCCAATTTGGGGCACGGATGGAATCTACGTTGCGTATCTGATACCCTCACTGCTTCTATGCCATTGCTTCTAATCTTTTTTTTTTTTATCAAAGAGCTCAGTTAGTAGCCTGTGCCTGTTTTCGTTTCTTCAAAACTTCCCATCGTGGCATTTCCGCGTCCAATCTACATGACGATACCATGAGTTTCAGAAAATAGTTCACCAAGAATCAGAGATCTGTTCGCAAGCTCTAGTTTACTCACGGTTCTTCCCAATAAGGTATGTGATCAATTTGACCAATCAATGGTGTGCAACTTCTCCGAACGTTGTCGCATTTGATTCCCTGAACGGGGTCGCATTTGGTTGCCTGATTAGGAAACCTGAACCACAGCTTACCTGTATGCCCATCCTCGACATTATGTTGATGCTTGGAATCTTTTCATTCACATTTGCTGTTAAGACTTCTCGCCAAAAATGACAGTCACCACGCTTTTTCCAGCCGTCTGCTACGTTCTTTCCTGGTGGATAGGTGCCGCCTATTCTGTCCCCTTTGAGGTAGAACAGAAGCACCTTTCCCACCAGGACCCATTACCGTCACCCTTGTGGCACCAGCCAAGAGTCACTAGACAAGAAGACAGGCTCTGTGATGCAGGCTCGCGGCAGTGGACAGGCTTTGTTCCCGTCAACCGTAACAGAGAAATGTTTTTCTGTGTGTAAATCAAGATTTTATCCAGATTGGAAATCTTGGATGGTTCTGACGATTCTTAGGGTACTTCGAAAGTCGTAATAATCCTCAAACTGCGCCTTTACTTATTTGGGTCAATGGGTGCGTCGATCGCTGTGATCAGATTCGTTTTTGTCTTTCTACATCCTCGGACTTTCTAACGAGAAGGTTGCTTTACCATCGGCCCTGGTGGTTCGTCTCTTCTTGGTGCTTTTTACGAGCTTGGCCCATGCAAAATAAACGAGTCTGGCAATAGTACGACGACAAATGCTTTCAGTTGGACAAATTTCGCCAACGTTCTCTTCATTGAGTGAGCGGGCCTTCGAAAACACCATGCCTTATTCACACTGACCTATGAGCTTACTAGTCAACCTATCGGGGTAGGGTTCTCTTACACGGACGATTCGAATCTTTGGGCCCATGATTTGAACGAGGCCGAGAATGACATCGATAAATTCCTGGACGTCTTCCTTGATGATGTCTTTCCCGAACTATCCAACAGGTCTATCCACTTCGCGGGTGAGTCATTTGGTGGACAATACGTTCCTACGTATGTCAGCAGAATGAGAAGAAGACTGGATTCCATCATTCTAGTAAACGCCCTTGTCAGCTTTCCAAAGGTTGTTCTAGGTCTATGTGAGCACTTTTGCACGCCAACTTTGGTCCAAGGCATCGGGCTTTCGGTATCTCGAAGAGGCCTCAACGACACCGAGTGTGCTACGATGGCTGCCGTTTATCCCACGTGCGACCATTTCAGCCGAGGCTGTGATATGGCATATGATGGTAAGACTTGCGAAGCAGCTTACGGAGCGTGCAAGCCTATTGAGGATGTTGTCATGAATAAGGTCACCCCCGGTGGTCTCAACCCTTACGACGACCGTGTGGACTGTATAGAGCCCCCCTTATGCGGTCATCTCGGTACGTCAGCACTTGCAGCCAAGTCACGACTGCTAACATGGCTTCAGGCATGGAGGAGATCACTGGATACCTGAACCAAGCACATGTTCAAAAGCAAATAGGCGTTAAGAACCAGATTGACTTCAAGACGGTGAATATGGACTTGAACGAGCAGTGGTCTAAAGCCCCTGAGCTTTTTGTTCCCACAAGTCGCGAAGTAGCTGCAATCCTTGATAAGAAGCACACTCGGGTTCTAGTCATTAATGGAAACAATGACATCATTGTGTACGTCTGTAAATACCTTTGGCGCTAAGAAGATTCACCTGCGGCTAATACTTGCTTGCAGGAATACCGAGGGGGTCAAGCGTATTTTCGATGACCTTTTGTGGGAGGGACAAGCGCAATACCGAGTTGAACCATGGGTCAGCTTGCATTTGCAAGAACCAATGGGCAACCATATTCATGTGGGGATGTCGAAGACCAGTGGAAACCTGACCTTCGTTACTGTTGATGAGGCAGGGCATATCGTGCCTCATGATCAACCTGAAGCGGTCATGCTTGTTGTCAAAAACTGGGCTATGCATGGAAGCGTATCGCCGCAAGAACATCAGTCTCCGTTTGAACTGCCGTGATTTAACAACCAACCATGTTCTCCCAGGGACAACATTGCAGTTTCGAAGTTGCAGCATCGCGGAGGGCGAAGCCATAAGTCTTGAGGTCAAGATCATATCACTCATTATTTCAATGTGTTCACAGCTTTAATAACTCATGTCTCTTGCATTCATTTCTTGTCTCAAAACGCCTGTCCCTATTTGTTGCTTTCCACACCAGTGTGTCTAAGCCTTTGTCATGGCTACTGAAAAATTAAAACCCGACATAACAAAAATGTCCCATTCCTTTAGAAACGCACGCGCATACGCTTCCCCGCCGGAGCTGCGGGAGCCGCAGGTGCTCCGGCAGGAGGGGGGGCCGGGGCGGCAGCTGGTGGAGCAGCTGGCTTCGGGGCGGCCGGTGGGGCGGCGGCTGGCTTTCCTCCGGCTGGTGGAGCTGGGGCTGCAGGAGCTGGAGCCGGGGCTGCGGCCGGCTTGCCACCAGCTGGGGCAGCAGGGACGGGAGCGGCAGCTGGAGGGGGGGCAGGCTTGCCGGCGGCGGGTGCGGCCGGAGGCGCAGCGGCGGGAGGAGGAGCAGGCTTGCCAGCGGCGGGAGCGGCAGGTGCAGGGGCGGCGGGCTTCGGAGCTGCAGCCGGGGGACCCGCGGCAGGAGGAGCAGGCTTGGGAGCAGCCGGGGGGGCCGCGGCGGCAGGCTTGGATCCAGCGGGTGCGGCCGGCGCAGCTGGAGCCGGAGCCGGCTTAGACGCGGCAGGTGCTGCAGGAGCTGCAGCCGGAGGTGGTGCGGCAGCTGCTGGAGGGGGCGCGGCAGCACCGGCAGCAGGGGCGGCAGCGTTAGGAGTAGCAGCTCCCTTCTTCTTAAGAACGCCAGCAGCCGCGCCCAGCACAGTGTTCAAGGGGGCCGCAAGGGGGTTAGCAGCAGCATTACCAGCAGGGGCTGCCGCATTGGCGGGTTGACCCTTGCCCTTCAGGACGCCGGCAGCGGTTCCCAGGACCGTCCCGATGGGATCGGCAGCTTGCGAGCCTGCGGGTGCGGCGGCACCAGCTGGTTGGCCTCCCTTGCCCTTAAGGACACCAGCGGCAGTTCCAAGAACGGTACCAATAGGGTCGGCAGCTTGACTTCCCGCAGGGGCAGCAGCAGCACCAGCAGCCTGACCGTTGGTCTTGCCCGTCAACGTTCCGAGGACCGAGCCGATAGGGTCAGCGGCCGGGGCTCCAGCTGGAGCAGCAGCCGGAGCAGCGGCCGGGGCGGCAGAGGCGGCAGGAACGGCCGCGGCCTGTCTAGCTCCAAGAGCTGGGCTCTTTGCTTTCTTAGCCGCCTTTGCCGGAGCAGCAGCGGCGGGAGTCTTGCCCTTCGCCTTTGCTGGAGCAGCGGCGGTGGCAGTCTTGCCCTTGGCCTTGGCCCCGGTGAGACCCCCAAGGAGCGAGCCGATAGGGTCTGCCGCAGCAGCATTATTGCCCTTGCCCTTGGCAGCAGCAGCACCTGCACCTGCTCCTCCAGCAGCAGTACCGCCTGCACAGTTCCTAGTGTAAAGGTTAGCCTCTTGTACTAGTACGTCAGGTAATAAGTTGTCCAAACGCACCCGGTGATTGCCCCAGCTTGTGCCCTGGTACACTTCGCATTCTGGCCGCCCTGTTCGTAACATTCAGTGAGACGCCTTTGCTAGTCATGAAGCAAGTAGCACTTACAGCGAGTAGGCAGTCCAAGTCATCAAAGCATACAGCTCCCTGTTGAGCAGAGACGTAACTCACGCACAAGGCGGAGGCGAAAACAACGAATCCACGCATGATGGTCTTTTTGAAATTAGGTAGGCAATAGAATTGAATGATGGGGATCCGAATCACGAACACGAACTGGTCGTATTGGGAGCCGTAGTGATTTATAGAGGGGAGAGACTATGGCGAAACGACCGGCACCTGCATACAGCTCATCATCCAGCCAATAATGGGATGCAGCCTGGTGAAAGCCGAGGCAGCCCTCGGTGTACATGTGGATGCAGCCGTTCTCAAATACCATAGATATGCCTTCCAAACGTCTCGAGACTTGTTTGACCGGAAAGAGCCCCGACTCCTCCACCAGAACATCCCCGTCTGTGCACTGCATCATGGTTCAGATCCTGCCGGCTGAGGATGAGGGCAGAGGCTCGGCTGCCAGGATGCGGGACCTACTGCCGCTGCACTGACGTTTCTGCGGACGTCAGTCGGCACTGTCAAAAGAATGGTCAGTTCATCTGAAGTAATTGACAAATTCGGGTGTGTTTGCTTGCCACGGGAGGGCTTGAGCTTGCATCCGAATGCGCGCTCTTCCAGCCACGACGCTTAAGAAAATAAACTCGGGCCCTGCGTCGGCGTCTCACGTCACTGATAAAGTGTCAAAGCCTGTCACACCATCCGTAGCAATGACTGGATTTGTCAACTTGTCTGCGTCTCGATGTGCCAGTATCTCTGGGTGGCTGCAATTGGTGTTCTGCTGGGAGCCTGAGACAGTCAAAGGCCTTATTCTGAATGGGTCTGCTCGTCGAAGGTGCAGCCTATTCATAAGCCTGGGAGGCGACATGCCGGCTGAGAAAATTCCAGGTGCATCCTAGTTTGAACTTACCTTGAGTGTCCGATTGCGCCCCATGTTCCTTCGAATCCTATGCACGAAGAATTGTGGCAACGTCCGTAAACTGTGCAAACAAGCTTTGGTTGATTTCAGTATTTTTGATTTTCTCTCTGAGTACGACTTTTCGCCCTAAGAGCCCTAATAGCAAGCACTCGGCGAAAGAGCTGCGAAGGCGCTTGGTCTATGGTTGATGTTGGGCTTATTGGGCCATGTTGATACGGTGACCAATATCGCATTTCGATGTCTTTTCTTGACTGACCTGGACCCTATCGTTTTTTTCGATGTTAAGAAAGGTCACACGATAGTCTCAGCTGAGATTTAGGGCTCCAGGCCTGTCGTGGTTTGGTGAGGATTGTGGCAACGTGTGTTGAGGAGGGGTCTCTGTCACATCTGTGCTCCTTCCACCCATTTCACTTTCGGCCTGAACTTCTTCTTTTCTTCTCCCAAACTTTGGATACATTACTTCAATGTCTGATCTTGCTAAGTTTCCATCGTCTACATCTACTTCTCATCGTTTCGTCCTTTGCGTTTGATCATGCTGATGGTAGGTATGCCGTATTATCAGATTTCTGGAATATCTCACACCATACCCATTAACCATAAGGCCAAGGTGTCCAACCACGTACATCAAAATATTTCACTTTCCTACTTGCCAAGTGGAATTCATCCTCAATACAGGTCTGTCAGTTTAGCGATTTGCAACAATAAATGAGGCAGACTGGCCAATACCCTACAAAGTAGGCAAAGATATTCAATCAAACCGCCAATAATGTCAAAAAGCCTTTGTATTTTCATGTTTAGATACCTTGAAGATTTCCTTTCAGTTCTCCGTCACTCGCAGGCTTCCTACCATTCTGGGTACGAACATTGCAAATGCTGAAAACCTCTCGGATACCTTACCGTGTTCTTCATCTTTGATGGCCCTCTGAAACGCACATGCGTATTACCCCGCTCATAAAGTTACTCAGCCGCTCACTGACGCGGACATCCATGGTGGACATTTCTGCCGAACCAATACTCCCCGCTGGCGCGGCCACTTTGGCCGCAAGCGCCGCCCACCGCCGTGAAAGCCCCACTTTCCGCCGCCCAAAGTCGCCGGTATCAACGATTCCGCCCCGCATCGTGCCGGCCAATTTGGTCCTGAACCTCACTTTGGCGATCAATCATTTGTAATACCACAAGAAGAGTTCTCGTTGATATTTGGCACATTTGTCATCCGCCCCTTCGACGGGGAGGATAAAAGGCAGACCTAGAACTCCTAACTGAGGGACCTACAAAACAGCACATCCCGCACCAATTAAACAAGATCCAACCTTCTCTTCATTCTATCAAATAATCACCTTCCTCGGCTATTTTAAAGCATTGAAGTCACAATGTCTATCGCTCTAGTTACCGGAGGCAACGCAGGCATCGGGGAAGCCGTCGTTCGTCTTCTGTCCAAGACTCCCAATTTCCATGTCATCATTGGATCCCGCAATCCCGACTCCGGTATCGAGCTTGCCAACTCGCTCAAGAAGCAGGGTCACTCTGTTTCCTCTGTCCAACTAGACATTACTTCTGATGACTCGATCAACAATGCCATTAACCACATCACCAATGTTCATGGCAAGCTCGATGTCCTTGTCAACAACGCAGGGGTCGCTCTTGACACTAAGCCGGACGCCTTTGTGTCCACTCGAGACCTATTCTCCAAGACATTCAACACGAACGTCTTTGGCACTGCAGCCCTGACAGAAGCCGCTCTTCCGCTTCTCCAAAAGGGCGACCATCCCCGTGTTATCTTTCTTTCGTCTACGATGGGCTCCCTTGAGGTTTCCGGAAACCCGGACACCTTTTTCTACAACAACGACTACAAGGCTTACGATGCCAGCAAAGCGGCGGTCAACATACTTGCGGTCAATTATGCTCGCATCTTGAAGCCCTTTGGCGGAGTTTCTAACGCCGTCTGTCCGGGTCTGGTCAAAACGAAGATGAACGGGTTCATGGAAGCTGGTGAACCTGTGGAGGTTGGAGCCGAGCGCGTCATCCAGCTTGCAACTGCTGCCCCAGGTGGTCCTTCTGGAACTTTTTCGAACAGAGAGGGTGCAATTCCTTGGTAACAATCGGCGGGTTGATGGTCGGATGTTTGTTCGTTTGTAGCTTTAGGCAATACGCAATGGTTTACTCCGCACTGGTTGTTTGAAATTGATGATACAGAGAATTTACTAGAACTGCAGGTCAAGAACTGCCTTGTCCTCAAAACGTGCCTGTGTTTTCGAAATTTGCTCTTGCTTCATGGACATCCATTGTATTTTTACGTGCGACTTGCAACAGCGCCCAATGTCGGTTCCCGGTAGAAGCGCAAAAGATGATTCGCGTGATAGGTTGTTGCATGTTTCGGATGCACGCGACAAAATTAACGGCACCGCCGGCAGTGCCATCTCATTATAAAGGTAAACGCAGCCTACGAAAGACACACATTTGTGTATGCAAATCCAAGACTGTACTAATAGCTGTAGACTGTTGGCCATGGACTTTGACGAATCAAATCATGTTCACAGCAACGTTCAGTAGAACACCCAGATTGTCTACCCCGGCATTCCAGACATCCAGCCTGTCAATCACTGCCTGGTGATTTGCTCCTTTATTTAGCTCGTAGAGATCCCCAAACGTCACAGGCCTCTTGTCTAGATTTCGCATATTACTGAGTGCCTCCGTTTCTTCCTTCCATTCTTCAGATGTTTTTGCAGTCCACTGCGACTGATGGCACGGAAGTCTCAGATTATGCCAAGCATCTAGGATACCGCATGGCATACCCATTCTCACCGAGCTGATTTGAGCGACAAGAAACCAAACGCATGCAATTCTGGAACAGGGTTAACAACTGTTAATCGCACAGAAGACTGAAATGTACCTCGCAAGAGATTCTTCAAGAACCCAATCCTCCCACTCAATTGTTTTGTTGACAGCAGCATCGCAAGAAGTCACATTTAAGGCAACCAAGTGACTCCAGAATCCCTTGGTATAAGGTCAGTGCATAATTTTGTCTTTATGATTGTCGCTGCAAACCTTGTACGCCAGCAGCATGTTCGTATTGTACTCTCGACTCTGAACTTCTCCTCCGCAGCAGCCATCCACGACTCGCATCATGATGTAAATCAATTGCGATTGCATGGCCGCAAAGACGTTATACTTAGACCAGCCGGCCATCTGCAAATTCGAATTATTCTCTTGAGCAAAGGCTTGGGATTGCGAAGCATGTTTTACCTCTCGAAGGCATCTTTCTTGCTCATCTCGAATCGTTCTCCACAAGAAGGCCTGAGTGTCTTTATTCCTTGCGGCATACAAAACAGCTATTCCCATGCAGTTCGCTAGCGGTACAGGAAGCTTGCTTTTGTCTTGATGAGGATGGATGAAAGGCGGAAACGTCGAGCGCCGGAGCATCATTTGGGGATATGCAGCCAGGGATTGTCTAATGACACTTGCGCTAGCTTGAACGGCAGCGCTGTGAGGTCGGATGCTGCTGAGAGGAAACGATATTCGAGAAATGGAAGAAATGGTACATTCATTGACCATGCCGGATATGGCAATCTCGTGCAGTCTACCCGAAAGAATCATATCCGTGTCGCCATCGATTTCGTTGGGGAGGCAGACCGCAAGATTTTCGGGCGTGAGGCGGTTGAGATCAACTACACCAAGGTTGTATGAATTGATCCAGTCTTGCGCCTCACCAGCAGGCAAACACAGTGTACCGGTATCCTGGGTACCACCGTATAGGTTGAGCTCTCCGATACTATCAGATGCTGGCGGCATGGGTATGGAAGCTGTCGCTGGTTCGTTTTGTCTCTGGTAAGTAACAGCGTCGGAATAACTACAGACAAGCCCCTTTTTAACACAGCGACTGCATCTTTCCTCGAGATTGCACTTGCTTTTCGCTGCTCGGCATTCTATACAAGGCTTAGGTCTGATACGAGGCCTATTTCTTGCTCGTCGACAGTACGCGACATGTCTTTTCAATGCAGTCTCTGTCGAATGAGTTAGACTAATGGTACTGTTGGTCTGGGATCCGCGATTACGGAAGCGTCCTGCACGTAGAAAGACCGCATTCCCTCGGCATTATCCTCATGGACATTGCCGTAACTCCGCTGCCTAACGTTGGGCACGAAAGATGAGACATCACGAGATACCCACCTTGGCTAAAGGGTTTATTGCAAATACTGCAAAACAAGACTGGAGGGGCAGTCTGAACCAAGCTGAAGTTCAACAGATCCTCGGCTGTATCCAGGTTCATCGTTATGCTGCGTCTCTAGGCAAAGAACCTCGATGGGCTGGCTATTCGAACGTGGCTGGCACGCGGTGATGGCAGTGATTGAATCAAGTTTGTTCTTCGCGGACAGGTAGTCACAACAAAGCACACATACAAAGTGTCAGATTGTCAGGTTGAATTAGTAATTCAGACGTCCAAACAGACACTAGCCGTGAACGGCGCGAAGGATTTCATGTTTGTCAGCAGATGCACCACCCGAGCTGTCATACGGAGATAATAGACCAGAATATCCGACCAATCCTTCAGCAATCGTACGACAATTAAAGCAAGACGCCAGACACGCCAAAAAATTGCAAACAGGAGCAGAGTCGTCACTGACAGCATCGACACACAGCGAAGATCATTGAGATAATATGCAAGATGCAAATGGCAAGCACACGTCTTGTTGACGAGGGGTTCGAGCAGCTGGCATCTCGCACGATTCAGTGTTGAAAACAGCCGCGGCATTGGCGCCTGAAATATTACTGCAATTGCCTGGATGGTGCAGGACGACGGCGCAGTGGCATGAGCTTGTCAAATCTCATCTTACGAGCCAGTCACGGGACCCAGCTGTTAGGCACGAGGCTGGCCGCTGTAACGCGGCGGTTAGCGGATACATGCAGACTCGAGCCAACCGCAAGAGAGATGGAGGAGACGCTTAAAGTATGTTGACATCAACGCGGGGACCTCTCACTTGGCCCGTGGAGGCCTAAGATGATGAGGCGATTGCCGAGAAAGCCGCCGTTAGCACGTCCAGTACGAAGACCGGCCTAGAGTCTTCCCAATCGCTCGTTTCGGAGGCTTCCTTGATCATTGAGAGGCTGGAGATTCGAGCCAAGGGGCAAGCCGGTTTTGAGTTCGAGACTGTGCTAAAAGCCTACCACGAGGTGACACTTGCCACCTGCTGTCGTGTCGCGCTCTCAGCCGCCATCCGGGAGAGAGAGCAAGGGCTTCCGGCGACACACAGGTGATCTGCCAGGACCGAGACCGCGGGGTGCGGGTGAAGCTCTAGTGTTGGGGGTGTCGCGGGTGCATCGCAGCCCAATGGAGAGAGTTTGGAGGGTGAAAGAGCCCGATGGTGGTGGTGTGGCAGGATCGGCGGCTGCAGTTGATGGGATTGATGAGGGTGCGGATTGACAGGGGCATTACGAACCCAATGGGAAGGGCCGCGGTAGAGGAAAGATTGGCTTTTGACGATGATAGGTGTGAACGAGGGGAAGACGGTTCCTTTTTGATGTGACCGGTCTGCCGGGTGTGAACTGGTGGGTGGGTGAGCTGAGACTGAGAGAGAGCGAGAGGGGACAACTGATGAGTTGTTTGGTGAGTGAGACAGGAGCGTTTAAGGTGAGGAGATGCCGAATGAGACCGTGCCGAGAAGAGCATTCGGGCGTTTCTCCCGCCCCGCAACCACCCACTTGCCCGCCCACTGCCCACGTTCACGTTGCTGCTGTCAGTCCAACATGAAGGTCAGGTCAGTCAATCCACCATGACGATAGTCGACGGATAACGGCCCTCGGCCAAGCGGTCGGAGCTGGACGCACGACGTCAGGAACGCAGGATTGGGGACTGGGTTGCAATGAATGAGCAGTGCCTTGCTGGACACAGATGGGAGGGTTGGAGGGCTGTCTCAATTCAGATTGAGGGAGTGAAGCTGTACAACCTCATCGACCTCATCGTGCGTGATGCGTCATGCAGCAGGAGACAGCGCACCACAATTCGAAGGTCAGGAGAAGGTCGAGGAAGGCCACCGGTAGCCGCAGCCGCAGCGGAGAAGCAGGATGAGGATCCATCGGGGATTAACAATCACGCCAAGAGAGGTTCAGACATGATCCAATTGGCGGCAACTCGACGACAGGAGGGACGAATTTAGAAGAGTCGTACGCGTGCCTGACGTTCCAAGCCACCCCTGGCTGGCTGATGAGTGATGTCGCGATGCGGTGAGGAGGGCTGGTATCCGGGACAGCTGTGGCCTGTGGCCCTTGCGCCGTAATTATCCTGGGAAAGGGACGGACGGGCGACGGGAGCGGCAGAGCGAAGACACAGACGCGGCAAGACGCACAGGCGCCCGGGCAAAAGAAGGCGAAGCGAAATAGAGAGGGCGGAAGGGTGCCAGGTGGGAAGCGGGAAGGGGAAGCTCTGGCCTGGTCGGAATGGGCGGGAAGAAGCCGGAGACAAGATTGACAAGGACCAGGCCTGTGAGCGAGGTGAAGTCTGGAAGCGCGGAGAGACGCGAGTGGCCACGGATGAGCTGAAGAGGAGGTGAGAGTGGGCCAGACCGTTTCTCATGTGAGAGGCAGAGAGGGCAATAGACCCAAGTCACCGACCGAGTGAGAGACGAGGGCTTTGTGAGCGAGCGAGTGAGGTGTCTCTCTCTGGAGTCTGGAGAGCGACATCCCCCGGCTTCATTCTGTTTCTGGCGGTGGCCAGCTGCAACGGCGCCCAAGAAACTGTAAAAGGGGCGTCGCCGGTTTCCACCGCGGCCAATCGCTGACATGTCGCCCTGTTCTTGACGGTCTGGCCTGGCCCCGCCGGCGCCACGGAGAAGGGAGGGGGAGGAGGGGTGTTTGCTGAGAATTTTTGATTGCCATGCTTCCATTGCCTGTCATGAATGCCAGCGCCGTCGCCATGCCATGGCCTTGGGGGAGGTGGACTGCAACTGTGATTGCGAGTGCGATGTGCTGCGCTGCGCTGCGCTGCATCTTGCGACTAATTGCTCTGCATCTTTGGGTACCTACACACAGACACACCACACCACACACATTGTCGGTTGGAAACATCGCGCACGACGGGCATCGTTTCGCTCTGATTGCTGGACGTCGCTTGGTCTCGATACGGCATCTGGCTGGGGCGTATGATGAGGTGTTTCTCTCACTGGCTGTCTCTCCTAACTGGCGCTTCTCTGGCGATAACATAAGAACTAATTGCCGGGTATTTCATCGAAAAGAGGCCCCTCTTCGTTCATGTTGTTTCCCCCCCTACCTCTTACTTCCCTCCCTGCCTCCTCCGCATCCCTTGTGTGTGTGTTTTTCACCTTTCCCCCGCTCTTTTGCTCCCATCTCAACCAACACATCGAGACGTGCGCCGGGGCCTGCATCGCGTCCACGCGCGATAGCCTCAACTCTCTCATCCCTCACATATCCATACCCATACTCATATTCTCACACCGTTCTTCCGCCATCTCCGTATTTTTTGATCATCTGTCTTGCTGTCCGTGTCACAAACGACATCTCCGTCCCCATCGTCATCTCCATCGCCAGCCTCTTGACATCCATCCCGGGAACGGGCTCACCGTCCCAAGCAAGCAACGTCCACCACCCGGCTGGCTTCCGCCGCCGTCGTCCACTTTGACAACGGTCCCAGCCTGTTTGTCACTCACTCATCATCCACCTTTAAACGGGCTCTGAGCCAACAGCCAACGTCTCGGGATCCTGCCGTCACACTAAGACAGAGATCTCCTGCTCAACTGCGTTAAGAGCGGTGGAGCGATTTGCGACGCCCGTCCCCTTCCTGGGCCCTTCCGTTCCGTGGCCCCCTGTCACCCAAGTCGGTACTCGCTTCCGTTTGAACTTTGACGGTGGAGTTGTTTTAGGGGCCTCCTTTCCTTCACCGCATCGTCGACAGCGACGAACCCTGCCTTTGCACGGCGCGCCCAGAACTAACAACTGCCCCGAGGATCCCCTCAAGTGGCTCCCCAGACAGCGCGTGAAGAGACTTTTGGCGGTGGACAGGCTCCCTCTTAGACGTGTTGGACCAACCTCCCGCCCTGGGTTCCCTGTCGTCACTTAAAGGACCGGAAGCTTCAAAAATCGACTAGTAGCACCACCACATAAGCTCCAAAACCGCGCGCGCATACACACACACACCAGGTCACCGCCTGTGTGAGTGCACTCACACCTTTTGCTCCCTTCGACATATCACACACACACACATCTTCTCTCAAGTCTGTCACCGGACGAGTGACTGACGCTCAAAACACCATGGCCCTCACTCAGACGGTCACCATCATCAACAACTCGGGAAAGATTATAAGTACCGTACGTCTCTCTCGCTGGCTCACACCCGTTGCATTTCCCCCCACCGCCCCTCTGAAATTCCAAGTCCAGCCCTCGCCAGGCCGCGTCTTTTGCAACATTCGACCTGCAAGATGCACGCGCACTACAACTTCAAGATGACCGTTGAGGCCCAAAGCTGACGTATCATCTTTTTCTTCTGCTGCAGGGCAAACAACTCGCTGGCATCTTTAAAGAAGCCAAAGCCTCCTACCAGGAGAAGAAGGCCTCTATCAAGGCCGACCGCGAGCTCAGGCGCGCCCAAACATTCGACACATCCCGCGATCTCCCTCCCGAGGCTTTTGAGCGCCGTTATTCCTACGACGATGGCCACTCAGTCGCCAGCTCCCGCAGGAGTCACCGCTCCCGGCGGTCTCATTATCCCGAGCAGGACTATTATCCCCCGTCGAGACCGGCCTTGACCGAAAACAACCTCAAGGCTCACTCTGAAGTGTCCAGCGTCACTCCCTCAAGAGCGCCCCCAGCTGCATACCGCTCTCCCTATGCAGAGACCGCACCCCGTGATATGCAGATGAGCCGCCCGGCCATGCAACACTACACAGTCGCTCCGGCATGCAGCGACAGTCTCGCCGATTCTGCGACGATTCGCGGCGCCAATGTTCCCCGCACAATGTCGGCGCCGGCCGTACCCACTGTCGGAAAGAAGAAGAAGGAAATCGACATGGACCTCGCGTACGGCAACATCCCTCCTGATCTGCAGGACCGAACCGATCTGGACCCCAAGGAGGACAAGGCGAAAGATCTGATAGCCCGGGTCGAGGGGCTCCTCGACGAAGCACACTGCGTGCAGCACACCGCCGCAGCCACCATCGCCCATCTCCAAGGAAACCCCGAAGCCGCTGCCGCCGTGGCCCTGACGCTCGCCGAACTTTCGACTCTGCTGAAGAGCATGTCCCCGGCCTTTCTTTCTGTAATCAAGGGAGGGTCCCCGGCCGTATTCGCGCTTCTTGCCTCGCCCCAGTTCCTCATCGCGGCCGGAGCCGCCGTTGGCATGACTGTGGTCATGTTCGGCGGATGGAAGATCGTGAAGCAGATCAAGGATGCCAAAGCCCAACAAGCGGCCGCCATGAACAACGCCATCGCCATGGAGGCACAGCCGGCGCCTGCCGTACAGCCGCCCGTCGAGTACACGTACGACCCGTACGACCAGTTCGACTCGTATGGACAGCAACCTCGAGAGGGTAGCGTTACGTACGACGAGGCCGTGGTCCTAGATGAGCGCTTGGAAGAGGAGCTCAGCTCCATTGAGACTTGGCGCCGCGGCATCGCGCCCATGGGTGAGGACGAGAGTGTCGACATGGAGCTCATCAGCCCCGAGGCCGCCCGCTCTATCCGTGGCGACCCGGATACCCGCACGGAGCGCAGCTTCCGCACGACGCGCAGCTCCAAGACGCACCGCAGCTCCAGGACTGAGAGGACGCACCACTCTTCCAAGTCGCACCGCAGCAGCGCTAGCGTGCGCGAACCGGACGTCCCGGAGCGCAAGAGCAGTGTCGCGAGATCTGAGCGAGGCGCCGACACGGAGAGCATCGCCAGCAGCCACCGAAGCCATCGCAGCTCGGCCTCCAAGAGGACGGGTCGGGTGTCGATGTTGACGATTGAGGAGGGCAAGAGCGAGAAGGATTCTGAGGTGATCGACATTGCGACTCGGCCCAAGAAGAACAACATGCTCAAGTCATTGTTCAAGAAGAAGGAGAGAGAGCACAGGGACAGGGACGAGAGGGTCTCTGCCCTCGTGTTCTAAAACGCGACCATGAAAGATGAAGGATGACAGACGACAACGACGAGAACGATTGAAGATGAAGCGAAGATGAAGATCAAGACAGGAAATCATGCATTTGGCTTGGGCGGCTTCCCAGCCTGGACGGAGTTGGGCTTGTAACGGATACGCACTGACGAAGGGTTCGATTGGAATTCGCCCTCGTGTTTTCATTTTTCCTTTGCTTTCTTTGTGCATAATCATTGGGATTGTTATCATTATTGGAAGGAACAAACATACCTACAAACTTTGTTACATGATCTGAGCGATCAGATCTCGACTTCGCGTCGGTAGATATTCTCGCAGAATACATAAGATTTCTCGTTCTTATGCCAACAACGTCATTTTTTCACTTTGAAGTGACCAGCACGATATTCTTAACTGGTTAGAGACCGAGATCAAATGGTTTTATGAGGCTGAAGCAGCTGTTAAAACCGTCTCCTTGCATCGGGGTGGCAGTGCTTCAAGGCTGGGCAAGACATCGCCGACCTGAGGAGACGGCGGCGTAGGGCTGAATCGGAGATGTGGACGGTTCGGGAGGAAGGGCATCAGACCATCATCTCACCCAAGTCCGGCTTTGGTCTGGCTGCGTACACCCTCATCGTCGTCTGAGCTTGAGAAAAGATAATGCGACAGGAGACGCTCTTCTCATCCAAAGTGACGAAGGGGGCACAAGAAGTGCGAAATGCATGTCAGCTCCTCCCGCGGTCGTCCGCCTTCGTAAATGGTCTTCCCCCGCCGCCGACGGCCAATACCAAGATGCCCCGGCCCTCGGCGGTGCAGCCACACCACGCGGGTCACATCTCACCGGGCCCCGTAGCCTGCCCTATCTGCTCCTCCCAGGGCTCTTCCGAGTCAATTCGGCTCGACTGTTTCTTCTTTGCGGCTGGCTACATCACCTCCGCATTACCAGCGTCCCAAGAACCACGAAGTCGGGATCAGCTCAGACGTGGTTTCAACCAACCTTGGTACATCCACGCGTTCTCGTCTGCTTCGAACATCAACCCACGCCCGAGTTTCCAGCCGCAAATACGGTGGGTTTCTCATCACCAGGGCATCGGGAATATTCACTCAAACGATCATTGGTGAGTGGCATCGAAAAGACCTCGCAGCGCTACTCAGGTCTGACAGTCCCCCCGGTCTCATTGCCCCTCCCACCCAAATCTCTTTTCCGTCGTCTCACCTCATCCTCAACCCTGCATTGCATCTGAACAACCATGTCCACGTAAACACTCTCACCCGTTCTGCTCATTGTTGGCCCCACGAGGCGAAGACCGAGCACCAGCCCTTCCTTCATACTGTAATGGGAGCAGTCTGGGATCGCTGTCGTAATCTAGCGTGTCCACAGTCAACGATGAAAGTCATCGAGGATGCGACCGCGACGAAGGCAGCAACAAATGTCCCCGGGCAGAATAGGCCCCCAAAACCGGTCTCGCCCATGGGCAAAAGGCAGACCAAGTTCTCAAGGCGCATCCTGGTCGCCACTCGCACATTATCGCCAATCACACGAGGGCTGCAGAACCCCAACCAACCCGCCGCGTTGGTGACGGGCTACGCCAGACCTGCGCCATCACATCCAGCTGAGCCAGTTTTGCTGCAGATGCCAGTCGCAGCCCCGAGGATGCGACCCCCAGGCGTTGTAGACTTTCTTCGTACCGGCACAGCTCAAGGCCTTCCCTCCACTCTTTCTGCTCATGTCGAAAGTGAAGGACGCCGGAGAAGAGCGCAAGACAAGTAGTCATCCATGTACACCCCCTTCCGGCAAGTGATGTTGGTGGTGTTTCCCACCCAGCTGTGCCAGCCTTGTTGGCGGGAGGGAGCACGCGAGTGCTGTGTCTTATTAGTTCCCTTTTCTCCCTCCTTCCCACCACCTTCCTCCTCTTCTGATCATTGCTCGTTTAAGCTACTTCTCGCTGAGACCTGGGAGTCTAGGCTCCTTGCCGCTCACTCCCGTGCCCACTTCGCATCCGCAACACGCACCGATTACATCTTGAGATGCCTCGATAGAGGCGCGCCATTTTCCTTCTCTTTCTCATCAAATACAGTATTATTATTCCGCAACATCGTCAATGTATTCACATGCCCTCGGCATCCTCCTGCTGTCAAATTCCAATTGATACCACCTCCCAATATACAGTTTCGCCGAAGTTACACCACACAACAGAAGACAATCGTCGCCTACAATCTAATACCTAATTCCTTACAATGGAAGGACGAGACTATAACCAGGGCCTCGGCCTCCACGGATCTCCCGATATTCAAATGACACCATCTACAGAATGGCATGCCTCCCGCCAGCTCCCCCGGAAACCGATCCCCCAAACCCCGACTACGCCGGCGCCGATCGGCAGCCCGCCCGGGCCATACGGCCGCAGCCCACCGACACCCACCGCGAAATCCCCTCAACCGTCTTTCTCAGAACGTGCAGCCGCCGGCGTCGCTGCCTACTTTCCGACGACACAGACCTTTAGCAACCATGGCCAGCACCAACCCCGGCCGCGGCCGTCGCCGCTGCAGCTAGACTCTTATGAATACTCCAACTACACGCCCTCCCAGTCGGAGTTCAGCACGCCGTACACGGGCGGGTTTGGGCCGAAAAAGCAGGTTCGCATCGACTCGCACTCGGCCCTTCTGTCCTCGCCTCCGTACCAGCCCCCGCCGGGTCGGCCAGAGTCATACACGTATCATCCACCGGGCCACATTGCAGTCTATCAGAAATGGTGGCATCCGTCATGGAACATGTACTTCTTTCTGTTCGCCGGTATCGCTTTTGCCATGGGCCACCACTTCTTCTACAAACATCTTGATGGGTCTGAAGCCAACAATCAGCTCCGTATGCTTCGCTATGGCGCTGCTCTGTCATTCCTCAGTAAAGCAAGTCTCGCATCGGCTGTAATTCTCGCTTTTCGCCAGCGGGTGTGGATGACGGTACGACGCAAGATGCTTACTCTGGCGGCAGTCGATTCCCTCTTCGCCGCAGCGGAGGATATGTCTGCCATCTTCAACTTTGAGGTATTCAAGCAAGCCAGGGTCGCAATGATTCTTGCTCTTTATGTGTGGTGCACTCCTTTGGTGGTCATCCTCACCTCCGATACCTTGGGCGTACGACCCAGGACAACGACAGAAAACGCAATGTGCCCGAACGTGCGCACCCTCAATTTCACTCAAGAGGAGCACGTTGACTGGCGCGCCGGGAAGAAAATTGATGGGCTATATGTGCTTTCCGTCTCACTCTGGAATACCACCAGCGCAAACCAGACAGACCCAAATTTCTTCGACTATTGGGCTGGCCCGAGCGATCAGTATGACGAGGTGGCAACCTCTGCTGCTTTCCAAAGGAAGGCTATCGGACGCGTCGAAGCCAGTAATGAAATATGTGGCATGGGATTCAACTGCTCTTTTTCAATCAACTTCAGAGGACCAGGCTACAAGTGCACAGAGCTCGCCAGTGGCGTCGGTTCCGAGGTGAAAGACCTCAGAGGCGCCAAATGGCCGAGCGAGTATTTTGATTTTAACAAGCTCGCTCCGACAGGAAACTACACCTACTACGCACACGCTTCTGAAGGGGAATATTTAAACCCGCAGTTGAACGAAACATGGGGAGGGGGCGTTCCCAAGATGGAGCCCCCCTTTCCACCTCACCTCGGCGTCCTACGCACAGAACCCATACTCTGGTTTGGGTACGCTCATGTTGATAACACCACTGCTACACAGCCGAATAACACCGCCGATCCAGAATGGAAATCGGCCTACACACCAAAGGCTTTTGGTTGTGAGCATTATGAGACGGAATACGAGGTTTTCTTTAATTACTCCAACCAGATCCAAAACACAACTGTCAAGAGACGCGAGTTCCTATATCCAGTCATCGACACTGTGGTAGATCGTGGCGTTGATGCAAACGATGGCACGTTGGACAATACCACGGCGAGCCCAGAGCGAAACTACATCCTTCCTACCGACCTCCAGCGATACCGAAGGGCTATGGCGTATCACTCCATGGGCAAGAGATTTCGCGACTTTATCAACGGCACAATCTATCAGCCAGGCGCCATCGCGAATACAAAGGCACTCCAGACAAAACTTATCGATCATCACAACTACTTGGGAGTAAGCAATCTGATGGAAGAGGTTCAGTCATTCTATGAGGACATCATCATCTCCATGTTCAGTAATCCTCGCTTCATCACAGTTGTATGGGCCAGCGACACGGCCACACAGACCGGACCTGTTACCGACGCATCCAAAAAGTACGAATGCGTCCGACAACGCACCGACATCCGGTACGACTACCACCAAGGCCAGCTCTGGGCCGTCTACTCCGTCGCCATCTTCCTGGCCATCATAGGCGTCGCGTTCGGCGTAGCGGCGGTCTGGGAAGAGGGCCTGGTCCGCAACACCCGGTTCAGCAGCATCGTCGCAGCAACCCGCGGCCCCGGCCTCGAGAAGCTGCCCTGGGGGAACACGGTGCCCGGCAGCGACCACCGGCCCGTCGCCGGGGCGAGGGTGGGATACGGCCTTGTGCCGACGGATCCGCATGCAGGCGGCTCGACGTACGGCTTTGGGCTCGAGGGTGATGTGAAACAACGCAGCCGGGAGGAGCAGCCATCGAGGACGCCGACGGGGTTGGGGAGTCCCTTTAATCGAGCGAGCAGGAGATGGTCAAAACTGACCTCAAATTCGCCGCCGCCGCCCAACACGTCAGATGGCAGGTAGCCAAGCCATGTGTTGGTTCCGTAGTGTAATTATGAGAGGTTTCGTTTTCAATTCCCATTTTCCATGCGTGCAGTCGTCTCTCGTCACAAGCATCAAGTTCTCACATCTAAACATGGCAACGTGTATTTCAGGTATTCATATTAACTCGACGCAAAAGAAAAACTGTATGTGCGATGACCAGTCTCTACATACTACTCCGTGTAAGAGACAAACAACCTCCCTGCCCTGTTTTGTCCAGGAATAAAATGCAGACCATGAGCCTATCCCGCCGCCCAACTGCCTGTCGCCCAATATTTACATTAAGCCATACAAAGACGTGGTATATGCGCTCTGCGCGAAATGAGGTAACGCCCACTTTTTTTTTCGTTTCCCATCCGAGACCGTCAATATGATAAAAACGCCGCGAACCCGCTGATGATTGATTTCCATCCAAATACCCTTCCTACCAATGTCATTATGCCTTCGTGTGGTTTTGTCCTTGAGTAATGCTGTGGTTTTCTCGTTCGTGATATGCTGATTCGTGAAGAACTCCTTGTTTGCCGTTTTCGTAGACGTTCCCTCATTGCTCGTTACAAATCTTCGGCCAGAAGCGCGCGCACCTCAGGCTCGTTAAGAAGCTTACGCTCGCCGAGCTCTTCAGGCGGCTTGCCATCGCGGACAGCACCAAAGTCGAGGATCTGAACATGTTAAGTTAGTAAAGCCATTCATGGGTCGGGGGGCGAGGGTGAGCTTACCTCGACATATGTAAGACTGTCACGCTGAACGGCAGCCACACAACGTCTCTCGTCGAATTTGACCTGCCAGACTCCGCTAAGATCTGTCAACAGGTCTTGCACGCACTCGCCGGTGCGAATGTCCCACATCTTGACCGTCTTCTCGCTGCCGGAGATGACTTTGCGGCCGTCATGTTGGAAGCAGGTGATAGCGCCCGTGTGAGCCGTCAACACGTTCTTGCACTTGCCGTTCTCCGGATCCCAGATGCGCAGTGTGCTGTCAGCAGCAGCTGAAACCAGTCTCTCATCGCGCAAGTCTAGCAAACCAACAAGCAGACTATGCCCCTCGAGAGTGTGAAGACAGGCGCCGGTGTTCAAGTCCCAAATCTTGACCAGCGAGTCCATCGAGCCAGAAATGCAGCGGTTGCGCTCATGGTCCAGCACGACACTGTAGACCTTCTGAGAGTGGCCGTGGAGTACATGAAGCGACTCGCCAGTGCTGATGCGCCAGACTCTAACGGTGCTGTCATAGCTTCCACTGACAAGAGTATCGCCGTGGGCGGAAATCGCGCGGACCGAGTGGGTGTGACCAGACAGAGTCCGAATGAAGTACGGGCAGTCGGCGTCATTAGCTGGGGGACCGGTCTGAATGTACCTACGCGACCCGACTTCAGGCAAGCGCCAGACGCGGAGCTGGCTGTCACGAGATCCGGTGATGATCAGAGGCTTCTGAGGCGCCATGATAGCCTTGCCATCGTGGGTTTTGCCGGTCTCGGTAGGCATGAGGATCTGCAGACAGCGCACCGTGCTGGTATGTCCGTAAAAGACCTGGGTGCAAAGACCCTTTTCAATATCCCAAACGCGTACAGACCGATCAGTGGATCCAGACACAAGCATGTTGCCCTCGTACTGTAGTGCCCAAACGCCACCCTCGTGGCCCTCGAGCTTCTTCCGCAACTTGCCGGTCTTGGTATCGTAGACGTGGATAAGCGTGTCGTCGCTACCAGTGATGATCTTGTCTTCATCAAACTGCAAGCAGGTGATGACGTGACGAGGGTGGGCGGCAAAAGCGACGTGGCCAGGCTTGACCTTGCCGCTGGTCCAGCTTTGGCGGATCATGTAGTGGCGGCGGTAGAGACTCTTGAACAGGTGAAGCTTCTGCAAGCTTGGCATGCCCAGCTGAGGATTGGGCACCGCAGCGGCAGCGGCGTTTGCTGCCGACAGAGGTCCCTCGGATTTGTGCTGCTTGACTTCCAACTGCAGTGCCTCGTTGCGGGCAGACTCCTGGCCACTAACCCTCCTCTTTGATCGATCTGCGCCCGGAATGTTCATGCCCCGCTTGCGCTTGGAACTGCGGAGCTTGACCGTGGGATCTGGCTTCACAACAGCCTTGGTCAACTCGTTGTCTGCCGAGTTCAACCGGCTGGTCCGGCTGAGGTCAACTTCAGCACCCATAACGCCGACAGGATCCTGCCAACCCCAACCCTGAACAATAGCCTTGTCAAGCTCGCCAGGAGGGAGCGTGAATCCGTCTCGATCAAATAGCTCTTTCCAACCAGTCTCGTTCGTGTCGACGATGTTCCGCCAGTGCTTGGACACCTGAGCGGCTCTGCAGAGGTCGCGATGGTCGAGGAAGGAAAGCACGTGAAAGCTCAACTCAAGGGGAAGTTGCTTCAAGAAATCGCATTTCAGCGCCGGGGTGACGACATCGGCTACGAGTCGCAACGTCTTCCTAGGGCAGCGGCGAAGGAAGTTGTACATTATGAAACTCTTCATCTCGCTGGGCATCGCGTCGAACCTCTCCATCATGGTGCGTGCGTCGAGCATAGCGGTGTGGGCATCAAGGTTATCGAGTTGGGACGTGCTGTCATCAGCGGCTACCATGGACAGATCAGAGGAGTAGCCGCCCTCCTCCCCGACCTGGGAGTCGTGAAGCCACTGCTGGTTACGGAAGCTGTGATTTCTCCTGGTTAGAGCGGTGCTCTGGGTCGAGTCCTCGTCGTCGTCTTCGGAATCTCTGGAACCCAGTTGGGCGGCCGCGAGTGTGGGGGAAAGTCTCGGACTAGGGAGGCTCGCGTCCTGGGCAGCGACGGCATCGATCGAGGGCCGGTGGCCAACGGCACGGATAGCCTGTTGCAGAGACTCGTCGGCATCGACAAAGGGCTCGGCGTCAGCATCGGTGATGGGGGGAGTGGCTACGTTGCTGCTGAAGACGGTGAGGGCATCGCTGCCGATGGGGCTTGGTGCGTCGTGCATGTTTGCTTGACTGCTGGGGCCGGACTCGGGGGTATGGCTTGTGCGTGCGATCTGAAGTCGAGGTCGAGGGACGCGGTCGGAAGAAGAGCCAGCTAGCTCAGAAGTGTCGGGGGTAGCCAGGCAGCCGGTCTGCTTGCCTCTCGAGAGGTGGCGTCGAAGTCTTTGTGAGGCATCCTCGGTGAAAGAAAGGCCGACTGATCGGGGGTTTCTAGAGGGCCTAGATGGGAGACTGGGAGACGCGTTCTGAGATGAAGGTGAGGGATCACGAGCAGCCGAGCGACGTGACCTTCTCTGAAAGGGGTCTGAGGGGGACTTTGATGTGCGTCTCGGGGAGTCTTGGCTGGACTCGTCTTCTTTGAGCAGACCTGCGGGTTGCCTGTCGGCTGCGAGGGGGGTCTTGCGCTGCAAAACAGACAGCATGTCAGCATTCGCTGGAGGACAAGGAGGGGAAGACTCGAGGGAGGCGGGTACCTTCTTGGGGACGAAGAGGTCATCAGCCATGGCATCGGCAGAGGAGCCGGTGACGCTGAAGGAGAAGTTTGCGAGTTCGGGAGGCAGAGGCTTTGAGGCGAGAGGGTACTCCTTGGAGTCGAGTTCGTGGAGGGGGCGAACGTCGCGCAGATAGACGGGAGGGAAAGTGCGCTTTGTGGTGGTGGTAGTGGTGGTTGTCGTGGTCTCGATGCACTCGGAGACTTGGTACTGCAGGCTGGTCGAGTCCTGGCCGTGTGCCGAGTTGTTCTTCTCGTCGACGGAGAAGGAGACGGTCTGACTGGAGCGAGGCCGGCGGACCTCTACGGCGTTTGACTGAGGACCCGGCGAGGGCGTCATGTCGGGCGATGAGAGAGTTGCAAGGCGTTTGAGCGGACGAAAGGGTTGTGGCAGAGAGTTTGGAGGGCGGGGATAGGAAGAATGGAGGCGATGTCGAAGAGGTTCGCGAGAGGGGAGGCGGCGGAGAGGAGGAGGAGTGGGAGAGGGACAAAAGAGGATCGGGTTCAGGGCAGCCGCGGGACAAAGTGGTGGATGGATGTGGCAGCAGCAGGCGGTGCGGCGGTGGAAGTGGTTTGGTGAGGGTTCCAGGTTGGATTTGAAGAGTGGCGGGCGCGGGATTAGGTACGGTGCAAGGCAGCGGCACCACGGGTGCGGTTACGAGGACGGGAAGGTAGACAGTACGGTGCCTTCCGCGTTTCTTTGGTTTGATGGAGATGTACCCGGTACTGGTGAAGGAGTTTTCTTCTCTTTTTTTTTTGACCCTCCTAATGGTGGAAGGGGGTACAGCGCGAGGCAAGAAGCAGCCGGGCAGGGCAGCTGATGGGCCTGGTCCAGGTCCAGGTCCCGGGGGCAGGTCCAGACGGGGGAGGCCAGAGTGCGTGCAGCGACGACGAATGGCACCCAAGTAAGGTAGGTATTGCACTGCACTGCACCAGCCTGTACACCGCAACGAAACGAGTATTTTATAATGGAAGAGATGAAGTGCCGTGACAGGTGAGGGTCCTAGGTCGAAGACAGGACAGGAAAACAGGGCACGGGGAACGAATGCACCTCACTGGGTCGACGGCGAGTAAGGCGGAGAGAAAGGATGGAAGGAGAGAGGCGTCGGTGAATAACGCGGTGAGAGGTGAGACGGCAAGCAAGCCTCCAGGAGAGACAGAAGGGGTCCAGCGGGCAGTTAAGCCAAAAGACACGATATCAATCCAGGCACGTCACCTACCTACCTACCTACCTACCTACCTAGGTTGGAAATTGTAAAATGCCGGGGACGGAGGAATGTCGGGTTAGAGTGCGTACAGCTGTTTAACGCAGGCGTTTGTCTCTCTGTCTTCTGTGCTCTGTTTCCCGTTTAGGCGCCCCCTCTGCCTTTTCCGATGTCGTTTTTGATGTCAGCAGCGGTTTGCGTGCAGTGGGCAATGGACAGCGGACAGCAGCAATGCGACGGCAGAGAAATGCGGAATGGTTGTGACGGTGCTCGGGCTGGATGCACTAAACAGAGACACCAGGGACTGAATCACTGAATCACTGAATCGCTGAATCACT